CCCCCCGGCTGGGAATCAGCGCGTTACGGGACACAGAGCGCTTCCCCCCAGCCTCCTGTTGCCATCTGTGAGAGTTCTGCAGCAGGGCAATGGTGCGGACGGGTCACAGCGAGGGAGGAAGCGTCAGGCCCACCGGTTCAGTGAGGCACCAAGAGTGAATGAAGCCACGGGGCTGCACCTCCGTTTGCTCAGTTGTCAAACCCAAGCAAGGTTCAGTCTAAGCTACTTTCCAGTCGAAATCGCTGGGGTGGTTATTGATGGCAGCAGTTCTAGAGTAAGGGAAGAGACATAAAGCGTGCACAGTTAGTTCAGGGGCAGCGGCCACCTCTGGGATGGCAAACGGCGCAGGAGCACGTCTCTCATCCTAATCACTGTGTCGTGCGTGACTTGGGGGCGGGGGCTTGGTGTATCACTGCAAGCGCATCTAAATATACACGCGCTACTCGAGAGAAAAATCTGGCGTCTTCCTTCACACGAGCTTCTGTATCTGCCCTCTGATTTCCTTGTTTCCCCTTTTCCCAGAAACGGGCTGGTTTAGCTGGTAGCTACCCGGGAGCTGACTACTGAGAAGGGAGAAAAAGGTGAATCAGATGCTAGCACAGAAAGCAAGGTTTTGGTGTCTTCTACAGCTTGGGCCGGTGTGAAATCAGTAATGCGAAGGGACGGCGTCGAGCTTTCGGAGAGCAGGGCCATGCTGCTCCCGCTGCCTCTCGCCCCTGCTGGTGGGCAATTCCCGCCGGCGGCGCAGCAAGCGCGGGGCGCCCGGCGGGGCCCCGCCTGCCACCAAAACGCCGTGCCCACCCCGCGGCAGCGCCACCGGGAGCTCCGTGAACACCCGGGCGTGGTGACCGAGCGCCGAGGCCGCCTCCCGCGAGGGCCCGGCAGGACAGGACGGCAGAGGACGCAGTGCAAGCTTGGGTTCGCATTCACTGCTGACCAAGGCTGCGTGAGAGCTTTCCCGAGAAGGGAGCTGTGCCTGTACCGGCACGCCACACCGCACGCTTTAACTCTTAAGCGGGAGCAGCCCACAGAGCTTTGTCCCGCAGCAAAGAGCCCGCGCAGGGCTGCCGACGCCGCGGCGGATCTCCCGTGATGCCGCGGTGCTGTGGTGTGACGGCACTCCCTGCGGCGAGACATTCTTCCCTTTGCAACCCTCCACTGTGATCCCAGTATCAGGGCCCCGGCATCCATTCCAGCATTTTTAAGCCCCGAGAGGCTGGGGGAACCCAGCATCCTGTGATCCCCCGAATTGTCACCATCGCAGGGGTGGCCTCTCCCTGGATTGCCAAGCCTGTGCTCAGCCAAAGGGCCATGCACGGCAGAAGACACGATCCTTAGGGAATTCCACATGGCTTTCATTGCAAGGGTCCCAGCACTCCTGCTACTGTTAATTGTGCAGTTGCTTGCTCTGTAAACGTTGGAAATTTTTCATTTCCCAGAAAAAGAACTGCTCAGATGAAGTTTGCTATCCTCCACCTCTGCTCTCCCCAGCAGTAGCACCACAAATAAATGGGACAGAGAAAAGATTTAGGTACTGGTTTAGTGGATAAAAAACTTTTAAAATTTGGACCTTCTCTCATGATGTCTTACCGGCACCAAACCAGTTTTGAAAACTCTGTCTGGGAAACTCCCAGTGAGACCAAGGATTTATTTCACGTAATAGTAATTTATTGATAGAAAATTAGATATTAGAAACCTCAAAAACCCCGAAACTCAGAGCATTTCTACAACTTGGAGTATCTTGTAATGACACTGTACCTCTGCCCCTCTGCCCTGCTCTGGGGAGACCTCCCCTGGAGCCCTGCGTCCAGCTCGGGAGCCCTCAGCACAAGGAGGACATGGACCTGTTGGAGCGGGGCCAGGGGAGGGCTACTAAAATGCTCCGAGGGCTGGAGCCCCTCTGCTCTGAGGCCAGGCTGGGAGAGTTGGGGGTGTTCAGCCTGGAGAAGAGAAGGCTGCGGGCAGAGCTGAGTGCGGCCGGTCAGGGCTTCAAGGGGGCCCAGAGGAA